ATCTCTCCAAACCCTAAGCAGCTCTTATAATTTAAATGAACTCAATTACATTAATCTCCATTCTATCATGTATTACTTCTCTTCCATCTCGAACCTTCTGCTTCTTCTCCATGTCTCCTGGAGTCTTCAGCACGCCTAGATTCCTCCCAGAGTTCTCTCTTAGCCCAGAAGTCCCACCTCTACCCACTGCCTGGATATTGGCCATTTACCAATCACAGAAATATATTTTCACATAATGTACAAATATCCCACTCCATTTCCCCTTTTTGGCTAAATAAAAAGGAAAGATTTTTAACTCCAATACAGTAAAATTATATTCAGTAAGAAAAATTATCAAGCAAGAAATACATTCACAATGTCCAGTCCATTTGTATTTGTCAAATTTGGAGAAATTACTCTCTTATCTACCTTGATGAGTTCAAAGTTTTCTACCTAAACCCGTATTACCATCCTAAAAATGTATTTTTTAGGCCTTAAAACATCTTAGATAACTTAGGCTTTTACGTTTCTCAACCTTATAAACTCTCTCTCTCTCTCTCTCTCTCTCTCTCTCTCTCTCTCTCTCTCTCTCTCTCCTTCTGAGACAGACTTTCTCTGTGTAGCAGTCCTGGCTGTCCTGGAACTCACTCTGGAGACCAGGTTGGCCTTAAACTCACAGAGATCCGCCTGCCTCTGCCATCTGAGTTCTGGGATTAAAGGCGTAGGCCTCCACCACCCAGCTTTTTTTTTTTTTTTTTTTAATGTAATACTGTTTGAGATGGGGTCTCACTGTGTGACCCAGCATCTTCCAATTTTGACAACACACACCATTACAAAGCACCCCCTCTACTTTCAAGAAAGGTTGGAGCCTGGTGGTGGTGCACACCTTTAATTCCAGCACTCGGGAGGCAGAGGCAAGCAGATCTTTGTGAGTTTGAGGTCAGCCTGGTCTACTGAGTAAATTCCAGGACAGCCAGGGCTTTTTCACATGTTTCACAAAGAAACCCTGTCTCAAAAAACAAACAAACAAACAAAACAAAAAGGTTGGTATAAATCCTCAGAATGTTTGCTAGGTGAGGTGGGTAGGGGACAGGCTGAGAATCCATATTCTGTCCCTCCTGTAGTTCTCCTTTTTTTTTTTTTTTCTCTTTTTATTATTATTATTAATTCAGCTTAGGGAACAGGCTTGTTTCACATGTAAGTCCCCTCTCCCTCTCCCTCCCCTCACCCCCATTCCTTCTCCCCCACCTCCAACCTACCCCCCACCCCATCCACCCACCACTCCCCAGGCAGGGTAGGGCCCCCAACAGGGGCTCCACCAAGTCCACCAAATCTTCCTGTGCTGGGCCTAGGCCCCTCCCCATGTGTCCAGAGACAGAGTGTAACCATTCATGTGGGATGGGCTCTCAAAGTCCCACACACACACCAGGGCAAAACGCCAGTCCACCTCTGGAGGCTCCCAGGAGTGCAGGGGCCTCCCCATTGGCATCCATGATCAGGGGGCTGGATCAGTCCTGTACTGGCCTCCCAAAGAGCGTCTGGTGTCGATGTGCTCTCCCTTTTTTAGGACAACTGTTCCTGTGGGTTTCTCCAACCTGGTACAGACCCCTTCATTCTTCATTCCTCCCTCTCTTCAACTAGGTTCCAGATTTCAGCTCAGTGTATTTCTGTGGATGTCTGTCTCTGCTTCCTTCAGCCACTGGATGAGGGCTCTAGGATAGCATAAGGCTGAATGTCTCCTCTGGGTCAGACCCACAAATCACCTGGGATCTGGTAAAAAGCAGGGACTGACTTGTATTGTGGGGCTTGAGTTCCACCCTGTGACTAGCAATGCTCTAAGAACTCTAGCCAGTGCCCCAGCCTCACACCCCCCAAACTGTCCTCACAATAGAGATTAGAAGTTGGAGAGGGTAGATTTGAAAGCCTGTGTGATGGGACTCATCATCTATAATCCCAGTGCTGAGGTGTTCTGGTGGAAGCGTCACCCCAGCCCCTGGCATCCATATACCCAAAGAGCCTGGAATGTTCTGGTGGAAGCTTCACCCCAAGTCCCTATTTGGCTCCAAACCCTGCTACATCTCAGAAAGCCCACCTCTTTCCTGTCTCCTGGAAAGCAATCCGGGAGCGGCTGAGTTGCATCCATTAGACTTTTTCTAATTCGGTTTGATTTGGTCTGATTTGGATTACTGAGTCCTCGGAGAGGCTTATGGGGTGAGAAAATTTTCAAGATGCAGGGGGATTTAGGAGTTCGACTGTCCTGAGCTACACTGTAAGTTTGAGGCCAGCTTGGGGCTCTAAGAAACCCAGTTTCAGGGCCGGGAGGTGGTGGCGCACGCCTTTAATGCCAGCACTCGGGAGGCAGAGGCAGGTGGATCTCAGTGAGTTCGACGCTGCTGTCCAGGAGAGGCTTCAAAAGCTGTAGAGAGGAACCCTGTCTCGAACCCCTGCCCCCACCCCACCCCACCCCCAAAAAAACCAGAAAAGAAAAGAAAAAAAAAAAAGGAAACCCAGCCTCAAAAGTAAAAATTAAAAACAAACAAGGAAACCCAGCCTCAAAAGTAAAAATTACAAACAAACAAGAAAAAAAAATTGGAGAGGTGTGTAAGCTTTGAAGGGTAGGAACTTCTCCAAGCCAAGGAGTGGAAGGATGTGTAAGAATAGGCCCAGCAGGAAATCCAGACCCTGGGTTGCCCAGGGCTGCACAGTTTGCAAGTGGGAGGGGCTGGGAACACGCTGGGCTTCAGATCTCTGTCTCACGTCTCAGTCTCAGAGACAGGAAGTGGGAGAAGAGGAGGGAAGGGAAATACAAGCCCTGGGGACAGGCCTGGCCCTATGGGGGACGTGCAGCTGGTGTGAATGGGAAGCGGGCTCTGGGATGGCTCTCCTTGGAGCTCAGTTAGCACCCTGGCCTTTCGCTCCAGCCAGTCTGGGAGGGGTCAACTTGGGGTCGTCAGCTAGTAAACACAGACCCAGGAAAGGAAGTCAGGAGCCCCTGCCCGACATTGACCTCTTCCTGAAGGCCTTCCTCGGTGGGGAGGTCTTTCACACCTGCACCCTCCACACCCTGGTCTAGGAGCACCCTATAATTGCAGGAAGCACGGGAGGAGACTTTAAAGGGGACCCGAGTGAGGGTTAATGGAAAGTTGGTCAAGGGATGTTCTGGGGAGATAAGGGAGCGAGAGAGGCTGCACTCTTGGACAGCCTCTGGAACCCTAACGTCCCCTTGACTCGGCGATTGCTCTCAAAGGCTCCAGCTTTTGGATCCAGGATACAGAGCTGATGGGTTTAAAGAGACTTGGGGGAGCTAGGCCTGCAAAGGCAAGGTCTTCTGACAGCTCCCTTCCCCACCCCACCAGACAGGTCTTGCTTACTTTACTCCGAAGATGAAGGTAGTACAGAGTGCAAATTCATCTCCTCACCCACCTTAGAGGAACCGCCCCTCCTTGTGCTTAGGCTCAGGGCCACGCCCACCACGACTCTAGTGGTCCTGCACGTACGGCTGAAGCCCTACATGGGTTCCACCTAATGCCATCGTGTCCACTTGGTCCAGTCAAGACTGCTGAGGCACCCCAACTCTGAGACAGGACTCCGAGGCACCCCTTTAACACAGACATATTTATTGGCAAAGCCTATTCCCAAGCACGGCGGGGAAGGGCGCTGGCAGAGTGGGCGGCACATCCCCACTCTCTTTGGCAAAGTTCAAGAAGAAGGGCAAGACAGGAGGGGAGGACAGGGGTGGGACCTTCGGAGCGGTCCCAGTGGCACCGGCAGCTCCCCACAAGGCGGGCTCAGTGCTCAGCGAGTGCTTTCTTCCCTTACATCGTGTCGGTCAATCCTCCCAACTCACCTACAAGGTAGGTACCATTCTATCCTCCCGTCCCTGAAGAGGAAACAATTATAGGCGGACACCTGAGGTCTCCCACTGGGGCCTCCTGCTGCCTGCCTGTTCACTCAGATTTTCAGTTTCACTTCTCACAACTTCAGGTTCTTTCAACTCTTTTTTTTTTTTTTTTTTAAATATTTGTGTTTTGTAAAAAAAAATAATAATAATAAAATAGATTTTTATCCATATTCTGAGCAAGCCACTGTCTCTGTCTCCAATGGGTCAAACCTTGGGTTCCCCCAAGATTCAGTTTAGTTGGGGTTGGGCACAGCAGGTGGCACACAAGAAGCACTTAAAAAAATGCAGTTAATAAATTACAATCCTCCCACCCACCCTACGTCCTCATCCAAGTCCAAAGCAGACTGTGTGTTGACCCACCCTGAAGTAGGGGCTTGACCCAGTTCCCTCTGTGTCCACCATGTACAGGGCCTATTAGTAGGTGGCTATGGGGTACATGAATGAATGAGTGAGTGAATGAGTGAGTGTCTGGTGGGAGGAAGCAAACACTTAGGAGTGTGAGCCCCAGTCCCTCACCTGGCCCTTACTTACTCCACCCGGTGCCTTTCTGGGTGTAGAAAATAGGGTCTTGGGGCAGGGCTGGGACAGAGAAGGGAAGAAAGTCATCTGGGAAGGGAGAATGTGTGTAGGCCATGGCTCAAGCCCCACGGTGGAGCCCAGGGGCTGTGTGACCTCAGGTAGGCTCAGAAAATGGTCCTTTCACATTTGCCATTGGTCCTCAGAGACCATGTGGGTACATGGGCATTATTATTATAAAAGGCATACATTTTATAGAGCAGGAAGCAGAGGCCAGAGAGGTCAAGGGACTTACATAAGGTCACACAGCCAGCAGGAACCTGAAGACTGTCCTCCATCTCTCCCCCTTGCTATTTATAACTGTGCCATGAAGGGAGGAGCTCAGACCTAACACTCCCAGCATGGAACCCATATAGACTCAAGAGACTGTGACCCCAATTCCCTGATATGGCTTCTGGCCATCTTCAGCCAGAAAACCCAGTGTACCTTAGGGAGAGTGTTTCCTAGACAACCCTTCCTTCCCCACCCACAGCCATGAGATGCCCATGAACGTTCTTCCAGGGAGGGTAGGAAAGTGGAATGGTTGGGGGCCTGGGCCTGCCCCTCACACAGGCATGGGCACTTCATCATATTCATCCAGACCTTCCTCATCGTCAAAGGTTATTTTGGCATCATCACCATCCAGCTAGAGGGGTGAGAGGAAGAAAGGGTGAGAGACTGGACAAGACGAGCCCTTTCTGGGACTTACAAAGCATGTCTGGAGTTAGGAACCAGCCTGGACATGACTTGTTCTGTCTTTACAGTATAGGGCTGGTCTAGATGAGTGGTTTACATAGGACAAGTGGCCCCTGGGGGTCTGGTGAGGAGGACCTGGGAAAGGTGGGCAGGGGAATCCCTTCACCATGACAGCCCCAGCCCTACACTGAATGTCCCTAATAACTTGGGGGCTGATAGGACAGTCCGCTGGCCAGCTCGTGTGGCACATACCCTGTGTACCTCGTAATACTGCCAACCTGTCATTATTTCTCCCTGCGCTGGTGAGGCACAGAGAAATGAGGTCACTTGCTCCAGATCACATACTAGGACACAGCAGACCAAGCCTGAGACAAAGGCTCTGAACACAGACTTTTTTTTTTCTTCCCCTTTCTTAAGATGGGGTCTTATGTAACTCTGTCTGGCTTTGAACTATGTGGTCAAGGATGACCTAGAATTTCTGATTCCCTTGCCTCTAGCTCCCTAGTGCTGGGATTATAGGTGTGTGCCTCCACACAGAGTTTATGTGGTGCTGGGAATTGAACCCAGGATCTTCCCCTAGGAGATAAGCATTCTACCAACTGAACTCCATCTCTATTCCTAAACCCAGGGCTATCTGCTTTACTCTTCTGTCTCCCCAGCTCCAAGACCTTCACACTACCAGGCTTTCTGCCGTCCCTCTCCCTCCCCTGGCCTCCCCTCCAGGGCCCCCACTACTCACACACTGGAGTTCCAGCTCACTGAAGATGAGGGGCAGTAGGAAGCGTCTCAGAGGCACAGTGAGAATGAGGACAAAAGGCAGGGCCAGCGAGGCAGGGGTGGACTTCACCACCCACAGCGCTGCCAGGCAGATGATCTGGATACCCGTGAACAAATGCATGCGCCAGGTCTTCACCTGTGGGAAGTGGAGGTCACCGGCCGCCCTGCTCTGACACCCGTGCCCCACTCTGGCTGGACAGCTTCCAAGTCACATACCCGCTTGACGAAGGGCACATCGGGGTGGTACTTGGGTGGCTTGAACAGAAGCAAGATGCGGTCAAAGACTTGGATTCCACTGAGGGATGTGACCCCCATGTACAGGAAAATGCCGAATAACACCGCCAGGGGAATGCGAGACAGGATAGGCTCCATGAGGATGGACAGTCCTGTGTGGAGGGACACTCTTAGTTCAGGTCATCCAAGGACCAGCACCAACAGGGCTTAACTCATTTTTGGAGCTGACCATGAAACCACAAGTACCATGTGACACTTTTCTGCCATGGCTGTTTATAGGCTCAGAGGTAAACAACTTCTAAGGCTATGCTTTCTAGGAGTCCGGCCTGCCTGCCTTACACCCGCTCCCTGAGCCTAGAGGGCGCCGTCACAGCCGTCAGAGGATCCTGCCTTTCCCCTCAGCCCAGAGTGCCTCCACCATCCTCTACAGAAGGGAAGAGAAGGCGAGGGGGGAAGGGGGAACTTGAGACCTCTCTCTCCATCAGTGACTATAAGGCTGCTCTCACAGCTGGACTCAGCTTCTCTAGAAACCCTGGAGCCCTGGAGCCCAGGAACCCTCAGCCTTCCCTTAGACTGAGCTGTGGTGTCAGCCCTAGAGCAACTAATCTGGAAAAGAATTTCAGGGATTTTTAATAAGTCCTCTAACTGTGCAGATAGGGAAACTGAGGTCCAGAGGCCAAGGAAGTTACCCAGCCAGCAGCAGGGCAGGGTAAAACCCCACAATCTATTACATATTTGTTGGCTACACTTGTGGAAACAGGGGTCGAGTCAGAGTCTGATTTTCAGAGTCTGAAAAGCCCAGCAGTGGAATCCTCATGCCCTGCACAAACACCTACCACAGTGTCCCAGAGCCCTTTGTTTTCCTGACTTCTGCTAGATCCCTTCCTGTGAGTAACTGGTGCTGGGGAGGCTTGGGCACCTGATGTGTAGGATGCAGAGTAGAAAGGATGGGAGTTTTGTCCTCAGTCTCAAGAGAAGGTAGTCAAGATTGGTCAGGGGAGGATGGTGGTGGTGAGATCCCTAAGTGGGTGGAGCCCCCCAGTCCTAAGAACAAGGGCCAGGAGGAAGTGGAGCAGGGTGGCAGGGGCATGGCCAGCCTCACTTACCCACAAGCACAGAGACCAGGAGCCCACTGATCCGCTGCTCCTTGACCTCTTGGATCTGACCACTGGACTTGCCCATGACTGTGAGGGCATTAGCGTGGGTAACAGAGCGCACAGTGGTGGCACTGAGCCAAGGCATCCCAAAGAGGGCGGCCACCCCACCCATGCCAACGACCAGCAGCAGGTCCAGATGGAAGCCGGAGCCCTTGATCATCTTGCGCTCTGGTTTGCTGACAATCAGCCTAGGGGTGGGAGGAAGTCTGGTCAACTGCACCCTCCTTAGGTCCCTCCGTCTGTCCGTCCTCTTTTTGATTACTGTTCCCATTTTCCTTTTATTTCCTGGCTCCCTCCCTTTGGCTATTTGAGGATCAGACTCCTGAGGGCTAGAAGTCTTCAGAACACCCTTAAGCATTCTTGCCCAAGTCAGGAACCTTGCCAGTTTAGGCCCCTCCCACCATCCAGCAGCTCATCTCATAGCTCACTGTTTACATGGTCTTCAAATGATGCCCCCCCCCAGGGGCCACAAAATTCAGATTTGCCTCTGATGGTCCATCACTCCCATCAGCTAGCAGAGAGCCACTGGCCATTCTCCTGTTGACCCAGAGCCTGCTCCCCTCCCTGCCTCCAGCCCTCCCTAGCCTTGCTCTTACGTGGTGATCTGAGACTCAAGGAATATGAGGATGAAGACGAGCAGGGCAGGCAGGGCAGAAGCCACCATCATCCAGGAGGGAAAATAGGCATACAGACCCAGAGGGTGTATGACCCAGCCCCGGGCAGAGGAATTGGACACTTTGAGGCCATCAGGGACTGCGAGTTTCTGTGGGAGAAGACAGTTGGTGAAACTGTGGGGCCAGGCAGACAGGGAGAGGTGGGGCCTGGAGCAGGGAGTTGGGTTGAAGTGCTCAAGGACTTATTTACACTGAACACTTATTCTGTTCCTGACTAGTTCTCTAAGCCCTTTATAGGCATCTTCTCATTCTCTATGTTATAGGTGGGGAAACAAGAGCAGAAAGGTTATTATAGCTTGCCCCATGCTGCACAAAGATCTGCCCAGATCAAAGCTACTCTCTCCTGCCGCCCTGGGCAAAGGAGTAAGAAGGGCAATGTAGCCTGGGCTCTTGCTTGGGCTATTGTGGTCCTGAGGGAATATTGGAAGAACAAGGATAGGGAAAGAGAGTTCTAGCTGGCTTTGGGTTAGGAAAAGCCATTCTGGCAGGGCATAGGGAGGGGGAGGAAACGAAGGGTAGGGTGGCATGACAGAGGATGAGGATGAGTCACCTGGGTGTAGGTGTCCTTGATGAAGGAATCCACCACGACCATTATCAGGATGGAGATGGGGACCCCGAAGTCCCCGATGACTCTCCGGAGCTGTGGGCAGATGAAGGAACCAGTTGTGTCCATACCCTGCCTCCTGTCCATTTTTCCTTCCCATTCTACATTTATCAGGGATTCTGCTCAACCCAAGGGGTCCATCAAGAACTAATGACTGTCTTTACTCCAACTATCCCTGCCTTCCTTCTTCCTCTGTCCCTGCCCTGCCCTGACTACACCCTGACTCTCCCAAGAACCGTCTGTCCCTGGTTCCCTGCTGGATCTTGGTTCTGAGCAAAGATGGCTTTGCCTGCAACATGAACCCTGGGTCAGAAGAGGAAGGGGAGCCAAGGGTACTGGAGAAGCTAGGGGTTGGTGAAGGTCCGGGTAGGGGTGCACTGACCTTGCCAGGGAAGTAGGTGCTGTTCTTGAACTTTCGCAGCATCATGGCAAGTAAGAAGGTACCAGCCATGAGCACAAGGGATAAGAGAGCTGTGTTGGGCACAGGGCCCTGAGGTTTGGGCATCATTGGAACATATGTATAATTCTGTTGTAGTGGGTAATCCTGGAAAATCTATAACAGAGAAACGAAGCATTGGGTTTCCTCCCAAGTCTTGGCTTGAACTTGACAGTATCAGGTTAGTTGACTGGGCACTATTATCCATCTGTCTTTACAACCCTCCCTCCATCCATCTATACACCGCCATCCATTCACCCAGGCATCCGTCCGTTCGTCTGTCCACCTTCTTTCTCATCTGACATATTAACCAGCTTGTTTTTTAGAGATGAAGAACAAGTTAGCTTGAATGGGAAGGGTCAAAGAAACAATAAACAACATGTCTGGGTATATGTGTCCATGCTTTGTTTGGGATGTAAGAACACTGGGAGGCAGCAATAAGTAATAAGAAGGTTTACAAAAAGGGCTTAAGGAATTGGTGACAGTGACAGCATTTGTCTAGCATGCAAGAGGTTTGATCCCCATCACAATAAACAAGTAAATGAATAGGTCACCCCCTTTTATTTTTTCGAGACAGGGTTTCTCTGTGTGGCCCAGGCTGTCCTGGAACTCACTCTGTAGACCAGGCTGGCCTTGAACTCAGAGATTCTTTTGCCTCTGCTTTCCAAGTGCTGATATTAAAGGCATGTGCCACCACTGCCACCGGCTGAGGTCACCCTTCTTCCATAGACAGTCCAGATGTGGAGGTAGGCAGAGCTTTTGGGGGAGGGGACAAGCTAAGGAGGCAGAGGTCCTGCGGGGTTATGGAGGTCAAGTGCAGGAGAGGAAAGACCTAAGCATCCACTGTCTCACTACACATGCTTTCCCAGGCTATCACACACACACACACACACACACACACACACACACACACACACACACACACACACAGTGGCCACTAGTAACATGCTATGTGGTCAGGAACATGGACAAGTGTATATAGAGTCCCCCTGCCCAGGCGTAGCATGAGCAATGAGTCACTAGCCTTTATGGGATCCCAAGCAACCCAACTGCATAGTCTTAAGTGAACCCAGAAACATGCATGTGCCCATGTTCATGGTTGTGCATACAGATAGAAACATGGCTACAGTCATGCTGTACAGACATACCAGGTAACACCCCCTCACACACATGCTATGTGTGTTAGCATCCCCCCAGGCCCCACCTTGATCAGCTTGGAGAAAGTCTCATAGATGAAGATGAGGGAGATGAGGAAGGAAAAGATCTCCTGGGTGTATCGGGAGATGAATCGGACCAGGAAGCTGCCTTCGAAGGCCACCACCAACACCACCAACAGAATGAGCCAGAAACCAATCCATGCACGGCCCACAATATACTCCAGGTTGTTGCTTTCACAGAACTGCAGACATTCAGACAGAGGAATTCTGATCAGACAAATATAGGCTTAGTCACGTTGTGAGCACCAGGCAGGTGAGCTAGGGTCGGCTACAGGGTTGGGGGTCAGTGCTACCGAGTAGAAAGCTTCCTCAAACACCAGCAGGGGTCCTGAGAAGCCAAGCACCAGCAGTGGCTGGGCTGCCAGGAGAGCAAAGAGAATTCCTTGCACTGCTGTGGAGATGAGCAGCTCCGACACACCCATCAGGTTCCGCGTCTTTTCTCCTGTGGGAAAAAGCCGTACAAAGGTCAACATGGAGAGATTATTTCCAAGGATCAAAGGAGTAAACCATGGGGCATGATGTAAGCACACATAGCATCAGATTGGGTCAGAGGTGAGGAGGCAGGTTAGAGGTGAGTGCTACCAGGACCATAATTGTCACTGACCAAGGAGGCCACCGAAGGTGACCGCAGGTGACAGGGCAGCAAAGTAGATGAAGATAACGGCAGCCAGGACCTGGGGGCTGAGCGCATCTGTGATATCACTCAGATAGTAAGGATAACGTCGGCGGATGTCGCGTATCAGGCCTCCAAAGAGATGGCCTGTGCGCCGTAGAGGGTCGTCTGCGTCACCGGGACCTCCTGGGCCCCCATTCAAGTCTGTTATAGAGGATAGGAGCATGGTCAGAAGGGCTAACAGGAATGGCCAGTCAGGGTGATAGGGAAATGACCACAGGGACAGAGGCTAGGGGGTATTTGACAGGAAAGGGCAACTGTGCTGGGGGCCCAGGGTCCCATGGGATATCAGGAAGCCCTGTCAAGGACAGAACAGATACCTAGGGTCTTGTATAAGTCAGGGTCTGGCTTGGCAGCACTGGGCAAGTAGCGCCTTCTAAGCAGTTCCTTTTGTACAGGTATCAGGTTGAGCAGAGCTTGCTCTGAAGGGGCATCGGTGGGGGGCAGTACCAGGCTACAGTCCAGGAAACCCTCCAGGGAACTCAGCAGCTCCCCTCGGCTCTGTGCCAGGTAGGCAGCTGTACGAAACACCTATGGGAGGGAGGAAGGGTGGAGACACTGGGACTGTAGACAGGAGGCTTCAGGTTAGCAGGGCAACCAAGTGGTACCTGTCTGTAATCAGGAGGTGGAGATAGGAGGCCTGCCTTCAGTTTGAGGCCATCCTGGGCTACATAGCAAGCTCCAGGCCAGCCAGAGCTACCTGGTGGGACCCTGTCTGAAGAAACTTGAAGGCTAGACATGTATAGCCAGGGACCAGCTACCAAAACCATGGCTGTCATTATAGAGTCTGGTTCTTTCTGCTCCCTCTGCCCTCTAAGGACCAACTTTGGGGAGACAGGCACCCTGGGTGGGGGAAGAGGAGCTAAAGTATCCCTGGTGGGCTAGGCACAACACACAGTGCGTTGGGCCAGTTAGAACTGGTCACAGTGTGCCAGACTGGATCAGACTGGACCAGTTAGTCCAATGCAAGCCAGGATAAGACTGGACCTGCCAGGCCAGACAGGAGCAAGCAAATTCAACCCAATGGATCCAAATAGTGAATTTCAAGTCAAGTGGACCAGTCCAGCGGGGAAAGCTTGACATTTTCTGCCCTCCCACCAGCTCCCTGGCTAACCAGCCACATGGCCCCTGCTCACTCTTTCTGTCATGAGTGTAGCCGCAGCCCTGCCCAGCTGGGTGTAGTCGACATGGGGAGCCTCGGGTCCCAGCAGGACGAAAAGGAAGCGCACAGGCTCCCTCATCTGCAGGTCCTCCAGGTGCACAGCTTCCTTCAATCTCACGAAGCCCAGCACGGACCTCTCCAGAAAATTAGCACGGCCTGTAGAAGACACCAACTGGTGAAGCCAGGCCTCTGGGACTCAGTGTACAACTTCAAGAGAAGGGGCTGCCCAGGGCCTGAAGTGGGGTACGTGAAGGAGAAGGGCTCTTACCCACTAGTACCAGTACGGTTTCTGAATCTTGGGGGGTCTTCAGAACTCCTTCTGGGCTCACCTCTGCCTGTAGGGAGGAAGGTGAGGAAAGGGGTCGTGGGGTCATACTGAACCTAGGAGACCTGAGCATCTAGCCTTTGCCTCTCCCAACCCCCTCACTCCCGACCTCATTCCAGCCTCACCTGCCCACAGTACAGCTCGGTCTCCAGTGATGGCTGCTGGGGAAGCAGGGGCTCAGAAGGGCCCCCAGAGCGGGTCAGGACAGCAGGCTTCACTCCCTCCAGCGCCTTTAGGTCCTCAGCATGGCTACAGAACATAGAGGTGACAGGAGCTGAGTAAGCTATTTGGACTGAATTTTCCATAAAAGGGAAACTAGTGGTGGGAGGGTCAAAGGTGAGTGTACAGTGGATTTCCCCAGTGTCCAGGCTAGACAGACCCTAGAGAAGGAAAATCAGAGTCTCCTCTTAAAAGACAGTGTGGATGGAAGCAGGTGGTCCCTGTCTCGGACGTCTAGGTGGGAGCAAACAATGGATAGAAGAAAGGTCCTCAAGCCCATGCTCTGTAAGTGTGAACTTGAGGTCATGGTCTCCCTTTGGGGACGTCACACAGATGTGGGAGCTATGGTGGAGGAAGAGTAGTCTCCTTGCCTGCTGGGGGTGGGGTCCATTTGGAGCCAAGGGAGGGTAGGGAGCCCTTGGGGTAGGGATCTGGGAGGAGCCCCGTGTGAAGCCCAGGTCCTGGAAAGCAGAGTACCTGCGTTTGAGTAGCAGAGCTCGGAGCAGCTCGTCTCGGTCCTGAGGCCGAATCTGGTCCTCGTAGATGAAGCTGTCTAGAAGCTTGTTGGCCACCCCAGCCAGGGAGGTCTCTGCCAGATCCAGGAGCACGGTGCCTGCAGGCGGTGGAGGGGTGAGCTGAGTGGTTGCGCAGGGCAGCCCCAGCAAGTCTCCAATGCAGCAGCCACAGAGGGCCTGGCAGGACTTACCTTTTGAGAAGACCCTCTGCAGTTCTAGAAGGCTCCAGAAGGTGAGGTAAGACAGGTGTGGGCGGCCCCACACACCGTCCTCTCGCAGGTTTTCTTCCAGCCCTATCCAGTGTGCTGCCTCCACCCACTGCAGTTCCTGGTTCCTCTGGTCCATCTTCAGCTCCTGCAGCTCCACATAGACCTGAGGCCCACGGCCCAAGTTAGCCCATCAAGCCATGAGCAAGCCCAGGGGGAGACTTGAAGCTTGGATCCTGAGGACACTTAGCTTAAAGCTAGGCTTAGAAAAGGCGCTGGGCCCTGGAAGGATCAGGATAGATCCCCTGCTCAGATCATGAATCCTGTGGGCAGACCTGGTCCCATGTCCCATCCTCCTCAGAAAGCCACTACCACATTTCAGAGAGACATGAGCCTCTGGATCAAGAGGCACCTCAAGTAGCCACTTGGTCAGAAAATTGGGGCCTGGTAACACAGGCCGAAGGGTCTGGGAACATGACTTATACTGTCCTGGGCCAAGCGGTTACTCTCAGGGCCCTAGTTTCTAACCAGCTAGGCAGTCTGGTGCTCAGCAAGGACTTGGGTGCTGGAGCGGAGGAGAATGTGCACTGACTGATTCTATGTCTCCAGTGAGTACCTCGCCTAGCCAGGCCTGAAAGCCCCGGCTCAGTCCTCAGCAGTAAGAAAACAGTCTGCAGGGAACTCAGAAATCGTCCGTTTCCCTGTTATCCACTGAGGTCCTAGGATGATTCCTCCATCCTGCTTGGGTGTGTATGGGAGTGTCTCCTCCAGCCCGATTCTCTCTCTTTCCCTTCTCATGGTATCTATTGGATCTCAAGGCAACTTGAGAAAGAGGATGGAGTCTGGATCCTCACCTGACTGGAGCTTCGGCGCGACGTGGAGGTACTGGTGGGGGTGTAGTATGTGGCTACTGGCTCTGTGGGAAGAGCTGAAAACCCAGGGCCAGTTAGCATTGCCTGGGATATGACCCCTCACTCAAGCCTTGCTCTGCTACTTTCAGGGAGCCCCGGGAACCCAAACCCTCCCCTGCTCCTGGGCTAGGACCCCTGCCCAACCCCACATCTGCACCTGTTCTGGATCTGTCACCCTCTATCTGAACCCTACTGAGGAACCCTGAATTCGTTGTGGTGATCCGAGCCCCTAGCCTGACCTGTTTTAAGTGAGGATAGTGAGAGTCCCAAGTCCTAGTGTTCAAAACCATCCCTTCCCTCCCCTGCCATGTCTGGGACCAGACTTCCTTGCCTCTTCTCACACTACCCGCATAGCTGACCCGCTAACCCGCCTGCTGGTAGCTTCTTACCACATGCCACTCAGATAGGGTGAGCCCCTTATATTCCCCTCATTGCCCAAGGGGGCCTCTTAACTTCAAATCTAATCACTTGCACTTAAGCCCTGTTGACAGTAAACAGGTCCCCGCCTCAGGCTCCCCACCTAAGTAAGACCTTGGGCAGGCCAAGGAAGGTGGATTGGACTCCTGGGGTCTCTGCTCAAGGTGTCCCCACAGTCCTATCCCATTTCTCAGGGTCTCCAGCTGTCTAGACAGAATGAAGTTCCAGCAACAGGCCTGCTGCTTGGCCTCGATGCTGATGTGGGGCAGACAGGGTAGCAGCTGAGTTTGTGCCCTTGTCCCAGGCATACCTGGCTGCCCTGTCACATGTGAATGGGGCCCAGCCCCCCAGTCACCTCCTGTGATCATTCCAAACAAATCATTGTTTATCCTTCAATCAGCCAGGATTGGGGGGAGAACTGGCTCCAGGGCTAGGCTGTGGAGACGCAAAGGACTGGGTCCCTACTGTCCCCAGAGGGACTCGGCAGCTCCTCTAGTAGAAACGGAAGACGAGGGATGGGTCTCACCTTCTGGCTCCTGCATCTGGACCACAGGCATGTCTAGGTCTCTATATGCTATCTGTTCTATAATGTTATCCAGTTCCTCGTCGCTATCCTGATCTGGGATCTCGAGTACTTCCTCAAGGTCCTGTGGGAAAAGGTCATCAAGTTGGGTTAAGTGGCTCCCCAAGTCCTCAGAGGAGTAGCAGCCCAGCTTGGCTTCCAGAGCTGAAGGCAGGAGCCCTGCGTGAATCAACAGGCACTAACCTGCTTGTCCCCCATGATGCTGTCCTCAGTGTCCAGTTGTCCTCGGCTATCTGAGGCCCCAGCATAACCCGCACCTCAGGTTCCTGGAAGAGGGGTGCAGGCTAAATGAGGCACAGTCATGTCACTTACCCTCAACTGGCCTCCTGCTGCTTCTGGGTCCCCCTAAGGGAGCTGACTTTTAGTGCCAGGACAGCCCTGAGGACATAAGAAGTCAGGGGAGACAAAGGACATGGAGGAAGAAACTGAGTTTGTAGGCGTATGGGTCTGTGGGCTGAGAGACACAGTGTGGCTACACTCTCCTTAGTGGTCAAATGTCTATCTAGCTCCATCCTGCATCCAGCAGGCCTTACCTAACTGCTCTTTCTGAGTTCCAAGGATTCAGCTAACTCCCAGGACACGACCTATTCCTTCCTCAGGGGGCTTGGCTCTCCTGAGAGTCTCCGTAGTGCATCCTCTTCTCCTAGAAACAGCTGCTTCTGCCTAGATAACAGGTGGCGGTGTCCTTGGGAGTGGCCTGCAGATCCTGAAGGACATGAGCCTGCTTCCTCCTCCTCATTTGAACCCTACCTCTCTGGCTTGTTTTATCCCCGATCTATTGGCTTCTTTCCAGTTCCTAGAACTCACCAAAGCCTTGCGTACCCCAGGGCCTTTGCACATTCATTGCCTACTCCCAGATGGACCTTCTGCCAACAGTCTCTTATCTCAGTCCCAATATCACTTGTTCACAGGCTCTCCTTAACCACCCGGCCAGTCCCTGACCCAGTCAGGCCTGGTTTCTCGATTGATTTGTGGACAACTGTCTGACACATCCTTTGGAAAGAAAGACACTTGAATGCAAAGTCCCTGCACATGTCAGTCCTCGTGGAGGACTGTGTCACAGGCCAAGCTCCATCCAGAAGCCACAGAACCATGTCCTCTGTTTTCTCAAGACAAAGGTGTACCCATGCCGGAATGTGGGGGCAGGTCATCCAATGTCCCAGTCTGGGTGTGGAGGGGCTTTATTTTTCCTCTCACTCAACTGCCACCTAGAACACTGGGTGACCAGCATTTGGGTGGGGTCATTGAATGTAGCCGCTTGACTGAGCACAAGAGTCTCAGCTGAGGGTGTCCTTACTCTTAAGGTGACCTAAGTGATTCCTACATAGACAGAGTTTAGGAGGCCACCTGTGCTGGAATATGCAGTGAATGTCACAGGAGAAAGAGTAGGACTTAGGTGCAGGGCACAGGGACCTCAGGAGGGGTCTCAAGAGCTAGGTAAAGAGGCCCCATCTAGCCAGGCGTTGGTGGCGCACACCTTTAATCCCAGTACTCGGGAGGCAGAGGCAGGCGGATCTCTGTGAGTTCGAGGCCAGCCTGGTCTACAAGAGCGAGGGCCAGGATAGGCTGTCACTGAGAAACCATGTCTTGAAAAACACAACAAAAACAACAACAACAACAAAGAGGCCCCATCTAGCCAGGCGTTCGTGGCGCGCACCTTTAATCCCAGTACTCGGGAGGCAGAGGCAGGCGGATCTCTGTGAGTTCGAGGCCAGCCTGGTCTACAAGAGCGAGTGCCAGGATAGGCTGTCACAGAGAAACCATGTCTTGAAAAACAAAACAAAAACAACAACAACAACAAAGAGGCCCCATCTAGGTTTGAGGAGAGTGAGGAGCAGTCTGGGACAGAGATGTGGAGTGGGGAGGGCAGAGGGGTAGATTCAGAGCCATGCAGTCGGTCATGCTAGGGGCCATGCAAAGGTCTAGGGTAGGGCATACGTTTAGAAAGAACCATACAGAGGATTTTCTAGGTTTTGGACAGTCCTGAGGTTCTGAAAAGGAGAGGCATTGTCAAGTCCTTTGGAGTGGCAAGTGACAGCCACAGCAGTGTTCTCAAGTCTGAGAATGGACAACCCTCTTCTAGGGCTTTGCCCCCTGGCAGCCCTGGCTGTCCATCACTTTCTCCTCTCTCTCTTTTCCATCTTCCTTTGCCAAAGATCCCCACCCCGTTCCTCTCTTCTATCTTCATGTTTCACTCTCTGGACCTGCCGGCACTGTTTTCTGGCTGGGCCTCAGACCCTGAGGTACCAAAAATCCCACTGTGGGGCTGGGACTGAGATCTTGCTTCTCCTGAGGGCCAGCATGGCATAGTCAGGGATCCAGAGTCCCGGGCTGCTTCCCTGACCCTGACTGGACCAATGGCCTTGGGCAGCTCTCAGGTGTCTAAGTCTATCACCCATCTGTTAGATGCCAGAGAGAAGAGAAGGATCCGAAGGGCCTGGAGTCCAGCTGAGCCTTGAAGGGTGCCCTGGGGCCCAGGTTGTTGCCTGTTGGCCCTGCGCTGTTAGTGCTGCCCACTCTGCCTGCAGCTGATAAGGGCCTGGCCCTTGAGCCTGCCATGTTCTGGGTTTGGAAGCACCCCAAACACCTGGAGGGCCAGCTGCCCATGGGCCAGATAAGGGGAGTGTGGGGACATCTGGAGCCCAGGAGGTAGACTCTACCAGCTGGGAAGGTACAGCGGGGAGGGGGGACAAATGACAGACAGCTCCCTGGTGGCACAGATGAACGTTTTTACTGTCGAACCTATACCTCACAAGCAGTTGTGAAGCACCATCTCTCCCAGTCCCCAGACCACTCTCCTAAGCTGAAACCAATAATGTCAGTGGCACCGTGTGACAAAGCCAAGGATCAGAGTTCATCTACTTCAGTGGCATGGGGCATTGGTATCAGAGGCAGGATTAAACCCTGGCCTGAAGCTCCACGAATTTTTCTAACCACTGCACTGAGCTGCCTCCCAGAGAAGAAAATAACTCAGCTGATTAGGAGTTAGAACTTAAGGTGTGAACTCTGCAGTCAGACTGCCTGTGTCTATTGTTTAATCTCAGCACTACCGTCTACTAACTCTGTGGGCTCAGGAAGACAAGTGAGCCTCAGGTTTGTTTTTGTTTTTTGTTTTTTTTTTTTCATCTGTAAAATAGAGCTGCTAAGAATGATTCCTCTGTGACGGGCCCTCTGTGCAGACTAAGTCCATTCAGAGAACACATGGCCTGTGCCTGGCACAGTCTGTCATTGCATCTGCCACTGCCGGCCAGGTCAGGTTTGTGATCTTCACCCCTCCCCGGTTGGCCTCCAGTTCCTATAGAATTAGTTTGAGCTAAGAGACCATCAACCCTCAGCTGAAAGGGGCTTCTCCTTTGCCCTTCAATACTCTCTAGACTAGGGACAGTGCCAAGCCTCCAAGTGGACTCTAAAGTGTCCCATACTAGAATCAATGTTGGTTGATGTATGGTCTCCCAGGTGAGAGATGGGGTGACCTGAGGATGCCCCACATTTGGAGGAAAGGAGGGCCTGAGAAGAATGAGGCCTGAGTCCATGGGGCTCATGAGACTGGTAGATAGAAAGCAGGTAGGACCCACAGTGGAATGTCTCAGCTTTGCTCCCAAAATGCACTCCGGCCACACACACCTCTCGGTATGGAATCTGTCCCTTCATCCTGCCACTGGTTCACTGAGGGACTCCATGCACATGGTCACATTACCATTCACCCACCTGTACCCCCCCCCCCCCCCCCCCCCCCCCCCCCCACCCCACCCCCCCCCCGCCTCCTGCACCTCTGGGTCAGAGGTCGTACCCTTTAGACACAGATTTAAGCTGACCACATGCACAAACCCTCAGAACAGATGCCAAATGACCACCACCCAGCCACTCCCTGCCCTGCCCACCTGCTCAGGAGCCTTGGGGGTCCTTTGTGAAGTCCTGTCACCACTGGTGCCCTCTGCGACTGGTTGAGCTCCCAACTGCTCTAACAGCACCGGCAGGTGCCCTGGAGGAGGCTCCCAAACCCCTGACTCATGCCCTTGCCTCCTAATCTGCCCGCCCCACAGCCGGGAGCCCCTTCCCACCCCACCCCCTTGCCCTGCTCCAACTGGGTGCCCCATAAACATAGTTATCTCTCACCCACATCTGGACAGCTGTGCATCAGGTCCACCCCACCCAGCCTGGCCAGTCTTCGGGGCCTTTCTGGCCCCTGGGGATTCCTCTGGATCTACCTTCATGGACTGAGGCTTGAGAGCAGAGTTCTCAAGACGTCCAGGTCTCTGTCAGGAAGGCATTGACCCATGGACACTTCTGCCTAGCCTCTGTCCACTCTTCACTCTGGCCGGGTCTTCTCTGGCCCCAAGTCTCAAGACACCTCTCTCCTACCCATGTCCTCCCTCAAGACTGGCTTTTCCTTAGCAGCCTCCCAAGCCTAGTGCTCATGGACCCCCACTGAGCCTGTCTTCTTGCCCATGACTACAGCACCTTAACTATGCTGTCCCCCAGACCCCAATGGCTCCTGAGAGTTGGCCTCTTGAGGCCACAACACCAACAGTCAACCTGAGACAATGTCCGGTCAAGAAAACAACTGTGCCTACAGGAGCCCTAACTTACAAAGCTTCTATGTCTGGGCACACTGGCTCCTCTGTGGCAGCCCGGCCCAGGCCCCTAGGCAGAGTAACTGCATTCTTGGCCCCCGCATGCTCCTCTCGTCACACCTCTGACAGGACTGTTCTCTCATCTTGAGAGTGGGGTGCCCTGGCCAGGGCACCTATCTCTGACTGACAGATGGGTTCCACTGGATAGGAATGAAGAGGTTTAGACCAGACCAAGTTGGGTACTATGGTACCCAACTTGGAGGAGAATACGCTGCCTGGCTCCTTCACTGAGTGACTGCCTGTGAGAACCAGGGCAGCCTCCTGGTCTCTTGGAGCTTTGGTTTCCTCTTGTATCAAGAGACATTCCCAGGGTCAGGGACAGAGCTCAGTTGGTAGATCACTTGTCTAGAATGCATGAAGCCCTGCTTTAGATCCCCAGCGATACATAAAATGGGGTGTGGTAGTGCTTACTCGTAACTCCAACACTCAGAACTCAAAAGGCAAGGCAGGTGGATCAGAAGTTCAAGGTCATCCTTGGTTATATATGCTTAAGGAGATCAAGGCCAGCCTGGGATAAAAGAAAGATGAGGAAAGAACTTGTGAGTGAGAGCGAGCACTCAGTGTCGTCCCCCTTCACACACACACAGACCAAGTTCAGGCTCCAACAATAGGGAAATTGACAGCCGGCCAAACGGAGCAAATCAACCAGTCTCTGTCACTAACTTGTGCTGGCCAAGTCCCTGCAGAGCTGGAGGGATGGTGGTTCAGGGCAGAATCCTCTGGAGTAGAAGGCCTTTGCTGCAGAGGCTGTGCTGGGGGTTCAGCTGGAGTCATGTTCAATTTTCTCAAGTCCTCCACGCAGAGGAAGTACCTAAATTGACAGAGATGTTATGTGGCTTCCTGTAAGCAAAATGACCAGGGAGGGGACAGTACTTCTCCATGCTGGGCACCAAGTCTCTGTGAGTTCATGAAGCCAGCGGGGTGAGCAGCAGCGCTGCCCAGCTTTTGTTTGCACCCCTCCCTCCTTTCTTCTTTTTATTTTTTACTTGTTTTTTCCTGGGTGTGGTGGCACATGCCTTTAAAGCCAGCACTTGAGAAGCAGAGGCAGATGGATTTCTATGAGTTCAAGGCTGGCCTAGTCTACATACTGAGTTTCAGGCTAGACAGTGATTTGTAGAGAGACCCAGTCTCAAATTTGTTTGTTTGTTTGTTAAATACAAGATTTTACCAAGTTCAAGCTTGTCTTAAACTTGCTATGAAGCCAAGGGTAACCTTGAACTTCTGCTTCTCAGTTCTGAACTAACGGTAGGTGTGCAATACCATGCCCCCTTTATACAGTGCCGAGGATCAAACCCAGGACTTTGGGAATGTTAGACAAGTACCTCTACCAACTGTACCACATTCTTCAGCCCACTGTTACTCTCTTACTGGAAGCCTCCTAGCCCAGACCTCCCTGGCTGCTTGACCAGACAGGGCTGGGGCTTCAAGGCAGTTAGGTGACCTGTACCTTGTGGTGGGGTGAAGAAGAGGTGTGGAGTATTCGCATGGGGCTGTGACCATTGGGAATGGAGTCCATTAGTAATCTCATGTCCCGTTTTCCATCCCTGCTGTCGCAAGTCCTCAGCCAAGTCTTGCTGCGTAGGAAGGACCACCTCAGCTGCTGAATGGGGACAGAAGAACGAGTGAAGGCCCAAGTTTAGGGCAAAGAAGATCAGGGTTTGAAATGGCAGGCAAAGTAAGCAAGTGTCCCAGCAAAGCAGCGTACGAAAGCTGGAGCCAGGGCTGTAGTGCAATAGGAGCAAGAAGTGCCCAAGGTGGCCTGGGAGAGCCGCTGATTTTCTATGAAAGATATTACTTCCCCCATAGACAAGGTACCCAGATTCCCATCATCCTTCATTCACGGGAAGTCTCCCACAGCCCAGATTCTAGAAACTGCTGAGGCAGGAAGTTCTGCCACTTTGCTGTGTGACCACATCCTCTCTCTGGTCATCCCTTTCCTCTGTGGACCTTTGGAACCAAACGGTGTGATGGATGGATGGGAGTTTGAAAGCATAGTCCCCTTTGGATGTGGGGTGAAGCTGAGTTGAGGACAAGGGTCTCTGAGGCTGGAATGTCTGTCTCCTGGGTGGGTGGTTGCTTGAGCTGGGTCCTCAGAATATCCATTCTTAGGAACTCATATCTAATGGGGTAGAGGATAGCAACTCACAATAAACAGAGCGTGGTGGCAAGAGTGTGGTAAAGAGTGGAGGGCTCCCATCCACTGACAGACCTTCAACAGTTCTTCTGGTTTGCACTAGGATGCCAAAGAAAATGTTCCCGGTGCTTCCTGCCTGTCTTTGTAGCAGTCCAGATTGAATTGGGGAGTACATATAAAATAAAAAAATGAAGCCGGGCGTTGGTGGCACAGGCCTTTAATCCCAGCACTCGGGAGGCAGAGGCAGGTGGATCTCTGTGAGTTCGAGGCCAGCCTGGTCTCCAGCGCGAGTGCCAGGATAGGCTCCAAAGCTACACAGAGAAACCCTGTCTCGAAAAACCAAAAATAAATAAATAAATAAATAATAATAATAATAATAATAATAAATAAAATAAAAATATAAAAAAATGAGTGGGGGACTGAGGGGCCTGAAGAGATGGCTCAGTGGTTAAGAGCACTGACTGCTCTTCCATGGGGACCCTGGAAGCTCACAATTGTCTGTAAATCCAGTTCCAGGGGACCAGACACTCATGGCAAAACACCAATGCACATTTAAAAAAAGAGAGCGTACAACGGAGGAGACAATACCTGGGAAGTCTTACTTGTTCCCCAGGAAGTAATGTGAGCTGAGCCTTGAAGACGTTCTTTAGGAAGAGAGCTAGGAATCGGGGCAGGGGAAGGCAGGAGAAGAAGGGCAGTCACAGGGAGGACTCAGAGTAGGATGCGGGTTGCACATGCAGTCATGGCCCCGAACTCCCCGGGGAGCATGGTGGGCAGTGGGAGGTGGCACGGGGACTAGAAAGGCCATTCTTTCTATTTCTTCAGTGCTCTGGGTGCCCCCATCTTCCTGATCAGCACCTTAGCTGGGCCTTGGGACTGAGAGGAAAGAGGAGATTCTCCTAGCTGGGATAGCAGAGCCAGGTCTGTGAGGAAAGCTGGTTCTAGGCCTCCTTTTAGAAACTACACAAGCGGGGCTGCTCTTCAGGGTCCAGAGAGGTGGGGGTGGTGCTACTGCTTGCCCAAGAGGACAGAGAGAGCTTGGCCGGTTCAGGAAGGAGTCTCCTAAAACACAGGGTCTGCTTGAGGAGCCCCAGACCCCCCTCCTGTGTTCTTCATTGGATATATGTCCATCTGTGAATATAGTCTTTGTTTCCTCAATTTCTGGGCTTTTCACATCCCTTTGCTTGTCCTGAGCCACCCTTCATCCCCAGTCCCAACCCAATGAACTGAAGCTGTGACCTTCAAGTATGTACATGTGTGCTCCTGGGATTGCGGGGAGCAGGAGGGCCTCAGCCCAGAGGTGCTAGGTTTTCTCACACCCCTCTCTACTATGGCAGGTCTTCCATGACTGACCCTCCTCCACAGTCCATGAACCCCAAAGACAAAGACCACTGCTTTCAGGCTCTTCGCTCTGTCCCAGCTTGGCTGGTATGTTACTGTTTTTTGAGACAAGGTCTTACCCCATAGCTTCATGCTCTCGGTTCTCTTTCCTCAGCTTCCCAGGCACTGGGACTCCAGATTTCACAGTCACTGGGACACCTGGTTTCACGGTCCTTGTGTTTGTGGATTTGAATGGGATCTGGGCAAAACTGGCTCTCTAGTCACACTGCCAAAGTGTAGTAGAGACAACAGTGTTTGAGAAAGGTCATATGAATGGCATAGTGACAGTATTATTTGTCCTAACAATTTCTTCTTTTTTTTTTGGTTTTTCGTAACAGGGTTTCTCTGTGTGGCTTTGGAGGCTATCCTGGAACTTGCTCTGTAGACCAGGCTGGCCTCGAACTCACAGAGATCCACCTGCCTCTGCCTCCCAAGTGCTGGAATTAAAGGCACGAGTCACCAATGCCTGGCTCTAATAATTACTTTTTATTTGTTTGTTTGTTTTTCAAGACAGGGTTTCTCTGTGTAGCCCTGGCAGACCTGGAACTCACTCTGTAGACCAAACTGACCTTGAACTCAGAGATCCACCTGTCTCTGCCTCCCAAGTGTTGGGATTAAAGGCGTGTGTCACAACTGCCTTGCTTCTAATCATTTCTTAAACAAGCAAGGAGACACCCTGGGCCTCCTTCACTTTCCTCCCTCATCACCCCACCCCAAACAGCTGTTTCTTTGACTGTTTTCCTCTCCGTACTCCTAAATCCCACCTCAGCCCATTCTACCTTGCTTCTTTATTGCACGGGTCTCCCCAGGCTCTCATATTTCCAATCAGTCCAGGAGTCTCCCATGTGACCTCATACTTCCCCTGGCTCCATCCAATAGCACAGCTGTCACAAACCGGTCAGAGTGACCTTTTAGAAACATCCGTCAGGCTAGGTGGTGTGGCATACACCTTTAATCCCAGTGCTTGGGAGGCAGAAGCAGGCAGATCCTGAGGCCAGCCCGGTCTACAGAATGAGTTCCAAATAGTCAAGGCTACACAGAGAGACCTTATGAAGAAGGAGGAGGAGGAGGAGGAGGAGGGAGAGGAGTAGAAGGAAAAATGAATGTCAGTCATGACACTGCTCCTGTGTGTGAGGCTGACTCCTATTCACCATCAGGCTTTAGCTTAGTTCAGTGTTAACCCTCCTGTAGCCTCTCAGCTGGACATAATTCTGTGCCCCTCTGTGGCAGTAACAAGGAAAATAAAGATGGATTGTACATAAGCAAAACCCCAAAATCTTTGTGGCTTAAACAAGATAGAAGTGTATCTATCTCTCTGATAGAGAAGCCTGGAGGTAGGAGGTCCCAGAATGCAATGGAGCTCTGCAGGTCCTTCTGTCCCTCATCATCTTTAGCAAGTAATTTTTCCCTTTTGGTCCAGTATGGTTGCTTGAGCTTCAGCTGTCACCTCTGCATGCCTGCCAATAGGAGGAAAGACAAATGTAAGCCCTGCGTTTGTTTGTTTTAGATTTATTTATTTATTTATTTATTTATTTATTGCATTCCAATCCCAGTTCTCCTCCCTCCTTTCTTCCCACTCCCCCTACTCCCCTCCCTCCTCCTGTCTGCTCCTTAGAGAGGATAAGGCCTCCCCTAGGAAGTCTACTAAGTCTGTCCCATCATCTCGTTGAGGCAGGACCAAGGCCCTTCCCCTTCCCCCATGCCTAGGCTGAGCAAGGTGTCTCTCCATACAGAATGGGCTCCACTAAGTCAGTTTGTGCATTAGGGTTAGATCTTGGACCCACTGTCAGTGGCCTCATATATTGCTCCAGCCCCATCATTGTCACCTGTAATCAGGAGTCCAGTTCAGTCTCATGCTCACTGGAGTCAGTGATCTCTCACTAGGTGAGCCCTCTTCTTAAGGACATGTTCTAAGATCGGGATTTAGTTACATGGCTGCAGTTAGCTTGAAGGAGGTCTGGGTGATGTAGTCTCATTCTTGGAAGTCTGTGTCCAGGGTTCTACCACATAGGAAGAGGAGGGAATAGCTTTGAGAGGGCATCAAGCCACTCAGCCCGAGTCCCATCACTAAGGCCCCACTATACCCACTAAGGTGTCTTACCAAGTGGGTCATCTCTTGTTGAATGAATAACTTGTTTATTATTATCTTTGCCACATAAAACAGAAGCTAGGGCCTGGCTCAGAGTGAGGCACCTGCCACACAAGCATGAGGACCTGAGTACAGGTCATCGGCATACCCAGGCAGGGGACCCTCTGAACTTGCTGGCCCACAAGTCCAGCCAACTGGTGAGTATTGGTTCAATGAGAGAGCCTTCACAAATATAAGATGAAGGGGCTGACAGGATGGCTCAGTGAGTAATCCCAGGATTTGGGAAGCAGAATGGGAGGATCTTTGAGTTCTGGACCAGCAGAGCTACCTAGTGAGCACCTGTGTCAAAAAACTCACTTAAGGAAAAATGATAAGGTGGAGAGCAATTGAGAAAACGTATCATTGTCTGACCTACACACACACTGAACACACACACTGCACACACACTACATACACACACTGCACATATCTGCTACTCACACACACACTACATGCTCACACTACATGTACACACACACACTCATACACTACTACATACTATACATATACACAGAAAGCAAAACAGTAAGTCCCATGAGTGCAGGTCTTTTGGGGTTTTTTCTATCACTGGGTCTTCAGTGCCAGCAAAAGGTAGTCCCAACTATTCGGGAGGCTCAGGTAGGAGGGTGGTCAAGGACATCAGCCAGGCTGGAGGGCAGTGAGACTCTCAAAAAAGAAAAGTTCTGGCTGGGTGATGATGACACTCGCCCTTAATCCCAGCACTTAGGAGGCAGAGACAGGTAGATCTTTGAGTTCAGAGCCAGCCTGGTCTACAGAGTAGGTTCCAGGATAGGCTCCAAAGCTGCAGAGAAACGCTGTCTGGGGTTGGGGAGTAATAAAAAGAAAAGTTCTGAATTTTATTGAATAATGATTGACTGCCAGAAATTATGGTCAAGAGTAGTTCTCAACCTTCCTAATGCTGTGACCCTCATGTTTTCGTTGCTACTTTACAACAGTAATTTTGCTACTTTATAACTGTGAATATGCTACTGTTATGAATCTTAATGTAAATGTGTTTTTGGATGGTCTTAGATGATTCTATGAAAGGGTCATTTGACCCCTAGGGAGGGTCATGACCCCAGGCTGAGAACCTCAGTCCAGAGCCATTCTTAGTCCTATATAACTAGTAGGGATGTGGATTCAGAGGCTAATTTGTATCCACAGGGACCTGAGGAACTTGCTTAAGGCCATACAGTTGGCAATTGGAGCCAAAATTCAAATGGCTGGTGACTGCAAAGCCCTTGGGCGTTCTCCACTTCACAGGCAGGCTCTGCTCTCCTAGCTCTACCCAGGGACAAATTCAAACCAGGGGAAGATGACCTGCAAACCTGGGAAATTCCATTTCATGTTCTCACTTATGCCAAGTCAGTAGCCTCTAACTGGATCAGACTCAGTAGCCTTCAGACAAATCAGTGGGTGAGAGGTCAGATGGAATCCATGAACTACATCCTTCCTGGACGTAAGCCTTGGACAAGATGTGAACTCCACATGGACAGATTGTGTTTTCCGTTTCGGACAAGAGAGAATGATCTAACTCATCAGGTAACTTTCATTACCTTGGCTTCTAAGAAACCTAGTTTGAATAAAACACCCAAGGGCAGCCCCAGCCTCAGACCAGAGCAGTAAGGACCAAAATGATTGTCCCCAAGGGCTTTGGGCAGATAAGGGG